GCTTCAATTTCCTCCAGTGTAAACAAGTAATTCAACACCTACTAACCAAAATGTTTAGAAAGTTGAACATGAGGGAAAATAATTTTGATTCCTGGTCAAAAAAACATCTTGAGGAAAACTAAGAAGCCACAAAATTAAGGCATCAATTGGTATGAGTGATCTTATTTTGGGTTTCCATATTTTTATCAGAGAGGGCTTGAAGGAGGCTCTAAGAATAGTCAGGAAGGTTTTGTTTGAAACCAACATTCCTCCTCTTTCTAAAACCTATATAAATGCCTGATTTTATAGATTTTCAGAAAGAGATGAAAACGATATTTGATTTAAAATTTAACGAGACACTTTCTGTTTTCTCCCCATTGTATTGTCCATGTTCTTCCTGCAATGCTTCCTTGGGAGTCTACTGCCTAATTCCAACATCCCTGGCTAACTGAAATAAAATGATACAACAGTGTTTGCATTTTGGCATCTCCTCTAAACCAATAAAGAAATGAGACAATTGGTAATACTCTGAAAAGTAGGAAAGGTCAGGTTATGGCCCTAGAGCAGGGGTTGGCAAATTTTTCTCTAAAGGATAAGATAGTAAATATTTTTGGCTTTTCGGGCTATAAGGTCTCTGTTGCAACTACTCAACTCTGCCATTGTAGCACAAAAGCAGCCATAGATAACACATAAACAAATGAATGCAGCTACATTCTGACATAACTTTATTTATGGACACTGAAATTGAATTTCATATAATTTTCATGTGTCACAAAATATTATTTTGATTTTTTTTTCAATCATTTAAAAATGTAAAAAACATTCTTAGCTTGTGGGCCATAGAAAAACAGGTAGTGGACTAGATTTGGCCCAGCAGGTCAAAGTTCGCCTGCCCTGGGGCTTGACCAAAAAAGACCCTTTAAAACTGAAAAGAAATAACAATTCCTCAACTGACAAGTCCTGGCGAGAAAAACTAACTCTGGACTAAGAATGCTCTCTTGGATTTCCACTTTTATTCCTCTTTTAGTGCCTTTCTGATCTAACCTGCTCAATTTACAAGTCAAAACAAGATTTTTCTACCAGCAGTAGGACTGGCTCAGTTTTGACTCAGGGAAAAAAAAAAATGTGAAGGGAGAGCAGGAGAGGAAAAGAAAAGAAAAGAAAAAAAGAAGCATTAGTATTGCATGTACCTCACTGCCAATCCTCCATTCTGGAAGCAGGCAATGTCTTAAAGTAGGATGCGATTCAAACATTTTTGTAGCTTTTAGAATGATTTATGTGAGGTTGACAGAAGCAAAAGCCTTTTTTGGTCAGAAACACAAATCCTGCTACCCAGACAGGTTGGAAGAAGTCATACAGAGTGTACAGGTCCTGTATTTGTTCCTTTTAGGCATAAAGCAACAAATAAAAGTCCCTGATATTAGTAACTTGCCATTCATCTTCAGATCTCAAATCACACTATCAGCTCGAAGTGAGTATCGAGAAAAGTAAAAGCTATAGGAATCAGGCCCTAAATCCATACTGCTAGGCTAAAGAATCTGTGCAACTCTGAGCAGTTTCTGGCAGCTCCAAGATTCAGGCCAGACTGCTGGTGTGAAACGCTGATCTGGCAATAAACACCTCCAGCCTGGGAGCTACTCTCCCTTCTCGGAATGAAGCTTCCCACCACAAACCAAATGAATTGCTAGGCGTTCCCTTTGAACACATCACTCCCCCTTCTCTGATTTCTTTGTATCACATTCAATCTTCCCACTCCAGAATCCCTGGCCTTCCATTATCACCTTTTTTCTCTTTTACGCTATTAAACAAGAAGTCCACTTTCCAACCTCCTCTTTTAGTGGTTGAGGAGATCGTATTTTTTCTTTTCACTGTGTCTCCTCGTTCAAAAATCTTTAAATCCTGATTCAAAATAGAGGGCTAATGCAAGCTTTTCTGCGCATAATTACCCTAATGCTGTCCACGTTGAATCTACCAAAGAAAAACCAAATAAGGAGCATCACAAAGGAAGGCCAGCAAAACAGAAACAAACACAAACTCCAAATACTAAAACCTAAAGAGAAAAATACTGGATACTAATTCCTCAAGTGTCTGCTTGCACACTGCCATCCTGAACTATAAGGCACCATGTTGGTCAGAGACACAGAAGTGTCTCTTTAGGTCCAGAGGCTTGAGCACACATGCACCGTCAGAATCCACGGATGCACCGTAACCACTCAGTTATTAGGGTGTTTGTTGCAAGTTGAGCTACTTGACATTTTTTTCCATTTCAAAAATAATATGGAGAAACCAACCCATGATAGCCATTTCTCTCAGGAATTCATACCCTATTGAGATCCACAGGGAGAAACTCAGTGAACAACCTTGGATGAAGGATGTCACTCCCTCATACAAGTCAAATGCAGGGTCCACACAAAACAGTTGTTGTTCCTTCTCTAAAGATGGAGGAAAAAAAAAATACTCCAGGCTGGTTGGAAAGGCATAAATCAGGTAAAATATGAGGGTGTTCTCCAGATTATGTAAACTTTTGATACAGCTTCAGCAAACCCCAGTAGGGTTACTTTGAAGTATTGATCTCAGTGACGTGGCTAGACATCTTCATTCCCACAACTTCTGCAACTCCTTTTTAGGCCCTATCTTCATTTAAATCCCAAACTAAAAATATCAATCATATATGATGGCAGTAGCCATAGGGGTAGGAGTACCACAGATAAATTTTTTCTTTTTACCTGTTCACAAAGAACTATGACCTCAAGCCTGGAAGGAACATCAGTGTGTAATTTACCAACTTGTTACTGAGGGGGCTTATTCAATCCCTCAACTGGTACTCTGATACCATTATTTCAAAAGAAACAATCATGAGAAGGCAGAAGAATTTAAGGACACACTTTGTTACTGAACATTTTTAAGTCTATGTGGATTTAACTGTCAAGATTTCCATTGTAGCAAAGCAATCCATATAAAAGTCTGAGATGGTTTTGTGGAAAGTTGCTGTTCACTTAATTATCTGGAAGGCTGGGATGTGACTCAACATTAGCTATTACTTATACCTACCCAGCCAGGCACAACTGACATAACCTCCGCACTGCTGGACAAACATGCAGCAATGTCCTGCACTAAACCAGAGGGAAGCCTACAGTTTAACTAAAAAGATTCACAGCTCCCTAGAAAACAACCTTTAATTTAGGAACCCGAGAAGACAACCAAATGGTATTAATGAGCACTCAAGATCTTTGCATCGTACTATTCAACACCAGACACGTGAAAGCCTCGGTATGGGTCCCCTTTAGCCTGTGAAGTCAATGCTAGCTGACCCATTTGTTTATCCGTCTAACAGCTTGCATCAAATCAAAGCAGTTTCTCTACTTATCCACTAATATACTGTGGAAATCCAGTGTTTCTTAAATACTTACTATTAAAAGACATCTTTAATATGCTACATTTATAATGATCCGAAAGGGCATGCATTTTACATTATATTTCTACTGTAGGTGCCGGATTTATGCTAATCAATGCAAATATTCCAATCTTATCTTTCTTTGGGAACATCACCAGATGTGACTATTAAAAACAATAGGCTGGGAGCGGTGGCTCACGCCTGCAATCCTAGCACTCTGGGAGGCTGAGGCGGGTGGATCACTCAAGGTCAGGAGTTCGAAACCAGCCTGAACAAGAGCAAGACTCCGTCTCTACTAAATATAGAAAGAAATTAATTGGCCAACTAAAAATATATAGAAAAAATTAGCCGGCCATAGTGGTACACGCCTGTAGTCCCAGCTACTAAGGAGCTGAGGCAGGAGGACTGCTTGAGCCCAGGAGTTTGAGGTTGCTGTGAACTAGGCTGACACCACAGCACTCACTCTAGCCTGGACTCTGTCTCAAAAACAAACAAACAAACAAACAAACAAACAAACAAACAACAACCCAATAGTTACCATATGCCCAGTACTTAGGTATGTATGCCAAGCATTTTGCTGGGCACTTTAACATACATATACAACCTCATTTAATCTTATTAATTCCAAGTTAGATATTACTTCCATTTTACCTGTAAGAGCTAAAACTTAAGACAGGTAAAGAGTTACATGCCCGAGGTCCCATAGTTAGTAAGAAGAAACAAAGCCTATATCATCCCATAGTTAGTAAGAAGAAACAAAGCCTATATCATACCAAGATATGTCTGACCCTGTTTTTAACAACTATATCTACTACAAACATTCCCATCATGAGAGAGATAACTGAAGTTAGGGGTGTTCACAAAATAGCAAAATTAAAGTAGGTATTTACCCAGACCACTAAGGGGCCATTTGGCATTACTTTTGCAGTGTGTTATTTGGCAGCTTTCCAAATGGTGTTCCACTGGAGGGCAAGGTTCACTTATGTATCTCCAGGGGCTCTTTGCACAAAAAGGTGGTCTCCAGGTCAAATTTAATTTGTGTCTGCTCCGACACTTCTATATTGCACCTCAGCAGTCACTGACATGTGGGATTTAGAATCACTAAAAAGAAACAAGGTTAATTCCTAGACCTCAAAAAGTCTGCAAACCAAAACACAATTTGCTTAAAGGAGTGGCATGCTCCTAGCTAACTACAGGAAGGGCTTTAGCACAAAGAAGAATGTAGGATAGTCTAAGTAAACTTGACAGAAAACTTCCACAGTTGCTCGAATTGGTCCCTACAGTTTCCAAAGGCAAATCAGTGCACTTTCTTAAATATGATCACCACCAAATAAAACCTCAACACCACACACATGCCCGCAGTACAATGTGTAGAAAACCAATTGGTGCTGAGGTGTCAGCGGAAGAGCAGCTACTGAAAATTTAAGTGACTTAGCACTGGATGGGAAGCTCTCTCTTTTATGGACTGCCCCTTCCAGCATATTTTCTTCCCTTTTGGAAAATGTATCCAGGACCTTACCTGGCTCTGGAATATTAAAGTCCAACCTTCTGAACTTTACTTTGGAAAGGAAGTCTTTGCAGCTCAGGGGCAAGAATCCAAACACCACTCCCTCACGGTGAGGAGAGGAGGAAATGCTGGATGAGTCCCCAAAGTGGGGCCACTATATAGCAGGGCAGGGAGCCCGGTGGCCCTGGGGGCTGTGGGGCGCACCAGCAAGAGTCGCCCTACATGTGAGGGCAGACAAGGCCGTCCACCGCCTGGGAACCAGCTGCATCATCTGCGTACGTCTCATTCCACCACGACAACAACGACGCCAGCTAAGTAGCACCCGTGGTGCTTCTGCTTTGGACCGCCTTGTCTTTCTTTTCAGGACGGGGCGAGTCTCCAGAGCCGAAGTCTTTAACACTCTGGCTCCCCACAGCTTAGGCTTTGGGGTCAACAGCTTCAACCTGGTGGCCATTGCTCGCCCCCCGTCGGCCCTATCAGAGGAAGTCCCGCCCACCGGCTTCCTCTCTCCTTGTCTATCAACATCCCATGCGACTGCTGATTGGTCTTCTTGGCGCCCAAGGTCCCTGCCCAGACCTTCCGGCTGTTTTCCTTCCTTCCTCTGGTGCTCACCTTGGGTGGTAGCACGAAGTCCAGAGGCTTACTGAGGGAGCGACCACATTTGGATAGATGAGTCTATGGTAAAAAGCAGATAGCGATAGAGTAGGCTCCGGGCTAGACGTGGGGGAACTCTGGGGACCCCTTCCCCGTGTGGAAGAGGTTGTGCACCCAATCCTGCCAAGAACGACAGGCCACCTACAAGCATGGGCCATCTCCAAGATCAGGAAGAAAGGTACCCTTTTCTGCCTCGCTGGATGAAAGTGAACTCAGAATAGTTTCCCAGGTTAATGGCAGATGTCTCTGGTCAGCTGATTTTGGGGAAAGTCATCTGATGGCAGCACTGCAGATGTAGTTTACAGTATGAATTACAATACTGTGCAGTCTAGATCAAGACAGAATACCAGTTATATAGAAACTGAAAGAAGCCTCTAAAAGCTCCTTTCCTTCGGCGATCTTGAGGAAAGCCTTTTTTTTACATATGTTCAATGGCATGTCTAACACAAGTCAAACCTCAGGGGCAGGTTGTACGTTGTTCCACAGAGAGATAACGCGCATTGCTTCTTTGTAGGAACATTGTGACACTGTGGGGTGGTGAGAACTGGAAGTTCTTACCAAGTGTTGCATAAAGTAGCGCTTTTGTGGAGAGCCCACTTTAACATACTCTTATGCCAGACCTGCTACTATTATAGTGACCACAGAAGGAAACCTTTGGGGCCACGAGAGAATCATTTTCGGGTCAATCACAAAGATAGCCAAAGTAATTGGGGGGGGGGGAGGACAGAAAAAAGAATTGCTCATTAGTTCTGTGTCCTTTTTCCAGATCCCTGGAGAAGGAAGAAGTATAAAGTGTTGGAGGAGAAAACCTACTGGTCTGGAGGAGGAATTTTTCTTCAGGGTGAAAATGCAGAGAATTTCTACATATTGAGTCAGGTGAAGGCAGAATACTGACTAAAAAGCTAAGCCACAAGGAAGTGGGGACTGGGAGGCATTATGAAGGAGACCGTGTTGGGGAGTCTTCCCTGCCTGGCAGCAACCCAGGACATCTTCAGCCTATTTGGCCGGAGAAGTCACATGTTTAGTTATCAAATGTAAAGGACCCTGAGACACTTCTTGGGCCCTGTGCGAACATTTTGTAGAGAGAGATTAAATAATGTGAAGTTGGCAAAATGATTTTGTTCCAGAATTAATAAGGAAATATGAAGTGTTCAGGGATCTAAGCTTTTTAAATGTCTGAAAATATGATTATAGTGTTATCGATGAGTTTAAACTTTAGTAAAACACATGAGAACTGAAAACTTAAATACTTTTATACAGGCGCTGCACGGTGCCCATATTTGTTTATTTTCCCTTTATTTTTCAATCTGTTTCTTGGAATATTGCTCCTTAGCAGTATTTAAACTGTTAAGAGGCAACTTTTTCATGCCAGAGCTATTCTGTCTACCCTACACAATTAAAAAAAAAATTTTTTTTTTCCTTCTAAGAGCCTCTTCTCCATTTTAGGCATAAGGAGTGAGTTCCTTTTAATCATTTTCACCTTGTAGGTATTTCCCCACATAAAAGAACTAATGTATCTAGTGCACTAGTTGCCAAATCTCACAAGTCACACAGATACGATTCTTGTGTTACAACCTCTAAATAAAATCAAACTTAGAATACAAGTTTTCATCAGCCTATATCTGGCCACGGATACCAGGCCAGTCATTACTGCCCCTTCAGATAACAAAAAAAAAAACGAAGTTAAGCTAAAATAAGTACATACATCTTCTATCTTTAAGTTTTGTAATGTTTTTATGCAAAAATTTAATTTTTATTTTACTCTGATGAGAGGTTTTTGTTAATTTTTTCAAGTGTTGCTGCAAACGGTTGAAGTATGTTGTATGCAAAATGTCAACTGGGCAATATTTAAAGCAAGGTATTAAGTAACATATTATATTTACTCTGAATTCTTATTACTGATGTCTAAAGGTACTATTTCTCTAAATTTATATCTCATAGTATCTAAAATCATTCCTCTGTTCCTGACTGGCATTTTAAAAACATTATATCTTATATTTTCTTTAAACATTTTGGTATAATTCCACTGTATGAAATAAATTATCCATATAAGTTAATTGCTAACTTTATTTGGAGAGTCCATTGTACATGTTGCACGAAATGGTTTATTTCCCTATTTTAAGAAACTGGCTAATGTAACAGGACAAAATAAAATTGTATCCTATGGTACAAATAACACAAAACACAACTTTGCAGCATAGATCATAGGATTTAAAAGGTAAAAGCAGACGGAGCAGGCGATGGTGATGTCTTGTTTGATTCGGCTGCTTCATCTCTCAGGAGCCACACGGAGAGAACTTTCCACCTGCATTTGTAGGCTCCCCCTGTCCTTTCAACTCCCCACACTCATCATCTTCCCTTGACCTCACATTTACCCTTCCACACTCACTGGAACTTGGCTTTCATTCCTGCTGCTTCACTGAAATCTGTCTGGCAAGGGGTACCCAAGATCTGTATGTTGCTAATACAAATAGGATTTTTTTAATCCTATCTTTCTGACTTCTGAGTTGCAGAAGTCAGACTGTCAGTCACTCCTTGAAATTCTTTCCTCTGTCAGCCTCGGTGACAGCATTCTCTTCCTGTTCCTCCTTGTCCAGATTCCTTTCTCTGCCCATCCCTTAAACTTTGGTCTTTCATTATATGTGGCTTTTGACTTACTGGTGTTCTTCTTCTACCTATTCCCCTAGGTGTCTTGTCCCATTGGCACATAAGATGGCAGAGTATCTTCCTGCATAGGGTAAGAGAGGTTTGGTAGAAAGGTCTGGCACAGAGCAGATTCTCAATAAATACTTGCTAAATGACACATCTTATATTTTCCTAGTTAGAGCTGGAACCTATACTATTAAGTGAAGTTTCTCAAGAATGGAAAAACAAGCACCACATATACTCACCAGCAAATTGGTATTAACTGAACAGTACCTAAGTGGTCACATAGGTACTACAGTAATAGGGTATTTGGCAGGTGGGGGGGGAGGGGGGCAGGTATATACATATATAATGAGTGAGATGTGTACCATCTGGGGCATGGTCATGCTGGAGACTCAGACTTGTGGGGGGAGGGGGAGAAATGGGCATTTATTGAAACCTTAAAATCTGTACCCCCATAATATGCTGAAATAAAAAAATACTTGCTAAATGAACAAATCAAGGGGTCATATTAAAATATTTTCCCTAGGCTGGGTGCAGTGGCTCATACCTGTAATCCCAGCACTTTGGGAGGCCAAGGCAGAAGGATTGCTTAAGGCCAGGAATTTGACACCAGCCTAGACAAAATAACAAGACTCCGTTTTTACAGAAAAATAGAAAAATTAGCCAGGTGTAGTGGCAGGTGCCTGTAGTCCCAGCTACTCAGGAGGCTGAGGCCAGAGGATTGCTTGAGCGCAGGACTTTGAGGTTGCAGTGAGCTATGATAACACCACTACACTCTAGCTGGAGCAACAGAGTAAGGGGAAAAAAAAGAAAAAGAATTTTCCCCAGAACAGACATGGTTAGAGAATCTTAGCAGAGTCTGTGGCAGGAAAGAAGGCAGTATGGAAAAACAACATCTGCTAAGTGTTTTCTTCAAAACAATTTTATCCCATTGGAAGTTCCCAGATTCTAGCTTTCCTTCACTTTCTCCTTCTTTGGGCACTCATGTGCCACCAAAATGACAATATACCTACTTCTGGCAGAGTTTTCTTCAGCATGGATTCCTGTGGTTAGGAAAGTCACACCAGAACCTCATTAATTCCTTCTTTTGTATAGCAACAATAATCCTATACATTTATCCATCAAACAGAAGCCAACCCTTTATGTAGCCCCAATGTGTTTCTGGAAAGTCCTTCTATACAGAGTTTTCCCAGAACAGCTTAAAAATGGCATGATTGATATACAATTTGCTGTGAAATTGTTTGTGTGTAAAATTGTTTGACCTCTAAGGATGAGAACGCCTGGAGAGATCTGAAGCCTTGTCATTTCTGTGGAAAACATTTATCCTGGCCGGTGAAAACACAAGCGTTTGAGTGAAGCACTGTCATTTTGAAGGGATCACTGGAGAAGCACTGTTGAGGTAAAACATTATCCCAATCCCTTTCTGTAATAAGAATACTTGAAAGATGCATTCTGACACCAACTTTAACCACTCTTCAGTCCCAGATGGTAGTCAAACATAAGGTCACCAGATTTTCCTGTCATACAAGGGATAGTGGAATTTAATTAAATAGGGGGCTTCTCTAGTTACCCAATTATGGGCTGAAATTTAATACAGCACAATTGCTTCTGCTTTTTACATTTACGAAATACGCAATGTCGTTCTTACCAGGGCTCATCAGTTTTGTCTCCTAGGATGAACTGCTGTACTTATGCCATTTAAAAAGTATTTACATGGTCATCTTTTCCCCTGAAATAACTACTTCTCCTTAGATACATGAGTGGTCTTCAATTGGGAAGACAGGCACGGATGACCAAGAGAACGTTCTTTGCTTGGGGGATATGAGTCTCTAATCCATTCTCCCATCCCAGATAGATCTGAGATACTATACAAGGGAACCTTTAATTTAAGCCTCCCTTCCCACCCAAAAACAACCCATACATTCTTTCCTAATGTAAAGATTTCCAATAACAGCATAAAACTAGCAGTTAATAATAGGTCCCAACATATAAATTACAGTGGTCTCCAAAAATAAAGCTTCATGGGGGAAAAATTTGCAAGTTACCACTGTGAGGTAGATTCAGTAAAGAACAGTTTCCTCACGCCAGGGAAATCTGGATGTCTTGGCACAACTGGCAAACAAATATTCTGAACACAGTCCTTAGAAATGATTTTTCTGGTGTAAACCAAACTATGACTTTTCCCTACCTCGCCTCTCTGTCTCCTTCTCCTCAACCAACCTTACAATTAAGCACCCAAGGCTTGTTCCTAAGTCTAAGTCTTTCCTTACATTTCTAGAGAGCAATTAACAAAAAAAAGGCAAAGCTGTAATCCGTTACCTTCTTAGCACTTTGTCTAAGGTGATGACTGGGACCATGTGCTATTTGTGAAGTTTTCTTTCTTGCCAACCAGCCCACAATGCTTACATCCTTGAGACCCTTAGAATAAGAGTGCTTGTTAAGGATTTCAAAAGAAGTGCTCCCAAGAGGCCCTTTAAATGCATGCATTCTGAATAGCTTCCTCCCCCACTAAGATTCTCTACTCTTTTTATTAATACTACCAGGGAACACTGGGCAGGTCTGTCCAAAGAAATCCATTTAGAAATTCCACGGAATAGAAAGTTCACTTGTCTCTTTAATCCAGGTCTCAAGGAAGGCTGAGTTGTCACTCCCACCATGGGGGGATCAATGATCTGGCCTTGGAGGGCATTGTAATTTTTACAGACCTCTTGCATTCATCTTTATTTCAAAATTAACTGCCTTCTTATCTTAAGTCATTTAGTTCATGGACTGCTTACTCTTGGTGAAATATCTTTGTTGAGGGCTCTGAAGGTTTTCACTTCAGAGAACAGGACAGCTGAATACCACATTGTGCGTGGGGGTCAAAGGTCAGCATTGGAGAGAAAACCCAGCTAATGCATTGTGAAAGACCTTCCTTTTTACTGGGCGAGTTTTCCATGCCTGTGAAAGCAAGCACATCTCCCACCTATGACAAAGCTTTGAACAAGAAGAATGAAAAGAAAAAGGAACCTTAATTCTTAACCGCTAAGTGGATGCAGTAAAGATCTGATTCCAGAGAAACAAGCCACACACAGGTGTTCAGGCAAGGTAAAAAGCCACTCATTCTGTGCCCCAGGCATGACACTCTGCCCACGTACAGATGAATAGTGAATGGAGGAAAGAATAACAGGGAACTGAAAAGACTGAAACTTCTCAAACCCTCACCTGCGAATGCCAGATTCGCCAAACATTTTTGAAAGGCACGTGTCCTACTCCGTTTTTACAGAATCGGATATTGAGGTTATCTCTAGTGCTTTGCAAATATAAATACTCGACCCCTTCTGTAACCAGTTATTGCTTTCAATGGCCCCATGAGATGGGACTGCCGCATTTCTGTAGAAAATCCTAGTGATGCACTTTCCATGCAGACAGAATCGCCTTCTCTCCAAACCCTCTCGCCCTTCATGTGCCTCTCAGCTGCCTGCGGCTGTCACTCTTTTTCACAGAGGGGGAAGCTAAGGCTGGAAGCTTTGCCCTGGATAGTGGAACAAGCCAGTGGCAAAGTCAGTATTAGATTTCTGGGTGCTGCATCTCTTCACTTTAGCACCAACATGCGCCCTAACCCCGGCGAGATACAAAACATGCACTTGGCAGGACCACCCCCTTTCCCGGCTTCTCTGGCCCGTCTTTCCACTTATGCTTTCCTCAATCAATGCCTCCTGCCACGTCCTCGCCTCCCGAACAGTTTTCGTTATCTAAAGATACATATCTTAGGGGGAAAAAAAATAACAATTTTGAGAACACAGGAAATGACTGGCTAGGAAATTACTTTTGGTATTAACATGCTTTTCTTGGGCAACTATGAGTGAAATCTCTGCTCTGAGGCTTTATGATCAGTCTGGGGCTTTTGACATAATCCTTAAAGAAGTCAAAAGGAGGAAGAGTGAAATTAAAAGAAGAGTACATTAATCAAAATCAAGCTGGTTTTGTTTCTGGAGAAGATGCCTTCAGGCAAAAGACAGGGACAAAAACATCCCGCTCTTTCTTCTATTCTGTGTGGATGCATGGTAGAGCCAGACCACTTTTCCGTTTAGAAAAAGGGGTCCCTCACCCCCAAGGCCGCCCCACCCTCCAGCTTCCTTCCTAACCGGGTCTGTGCCAAAAATTCCCGCCTGCCTTTCTGATGTGGCGCCCCTCGGAGGTGATGCACCCCTGGGCATCAAGCAACTTTAAAATGCATCACTTCTCACTCCAAAGGGGTTAAACGTGAATGGACACAAGCTATGACTTGGGCACTAAAAATATGTTCTCTGGTCTCACATAAATGCAGAAAGAGACACAGAAAAAAAAAAAAAACTAATTTGGTAGTTTGCAAGCCCTTTTTAAAGAAGAGTAACCCTTTTTACTAACATTTTTACCAGAAGTCCTCAATGTGTGAAACAAGTAAAAACAGGGCTGTTCTGGTTGAAAGGGAGGCAGAGGCTTGAGGTCCACTTGCCCCTGTTTTCACTCCCCCCACCCCACAACCCTACTTTGTCACCTCTTACACCATGAACAGTTGCATCTCAGGCAATCCACCCCCTACCCCCAACCCCAACCCCAACCCACAACGCAACACAGCAACCAACCAGCCACAACCCCCACAGGCACCAAGCACGCATAAAACACAAAAACCAGGAAGCACTAAGGCAGACAGAAAACAGAAAGGGAACCGCGAACCGCTCACAAGCACAAGAACCAAAACAAACGGACCCGACACACACACACGGCCGCCCCGTACCCTGAGTGCATTATCACACCCAGCACCAGTTTCTCTAAAGTGCAACAAGATTTTAGTGACATAAAGCCATCTGAAAGCAAAAATCCTTCTAGAGTTTCATCATCTCTAACCTTTTAAGCCCTACACCTAGCTCAGCAGTTTGCTTAGCAGTTTGCCTTTTCAAGCTTTCTAAAGCCTTCAATGTACTTTTTATAGAAACAGCTCTCTTTTTATGCTCAGGTTTCGCCAGTTTATGTAATAATCAAATTATCCAAGTTCGACTGGCATAAACAGGTCTGGGAGCAAACAGACCTCTTGGAAAGTGTTCGGCTTGACTGGCGGGAGCAGAAGGGCGCAGGCGCACCGGGGAGCGGCCCGCTGGCAGCTCGCGTTTGTGTGCGCAAGGCACCCAGTCACAGAGGGAAGAGACGGCAAGTGGGCCCAGAGGCTCTGCTCTATCCAATACCCGGAACCGTTTCAGGAAGACAAGAGTGCAGCTCACAAGGCTGAAGACACGGTCACAGCTCCACTTCCCACCTTCGCTGCTTTTCAATGTATTCTCCTCCTTGCTTTGCCTCGGACTTCCTTTGCTAAATGTAAAGACCAGAGGTGGGGATGAGGGCAACAGAAATAAAAATTCTGGCTATTCCTGAATCTTTGGGCTCAAATGACATGACCAGCATTATTTGACTTGGATGGTATTATTTTACTGGTAGAATCGTTCTGGGTTAGAGAGTCTTAGTTCAGCTTTATAAAGGAGACTTGGAGTAGCTAAGAGGCTTGCCTGAGAAGATTGCTATGTGAGAACCAGACACCGAGCCCAGGAGTCCCCAACTTCTTTGGGGGGCTGGCTCCTATAGGCTCTATGGCCTCCTGGACACAGCAAATTTTTTTCCAAGGGCTTTTGGACTCTCTGGGGATCAAAGCTGCTTTTACAATGAACAGCTCTGTGCAAATTCCCAGAATTAAGTTTCTGAGATAGCAGGAAAGCTCCTACACCAGGCTGCGCATGAGTAAGCAATGATGTCTTCCCTCCTGCAAGAGACTCATGGTGCAAGAGTTTCTCAGACAGAGGACGTGACTGGCCTCTTTTGCCCCCTGGGGTTCTGAGGCCAGGGGTGGAGCTCGGTGGAGGATCTTAGGTTCCCTGCTGTGGCAACTGAAGTGCAGCAGCCCAGACTCCACCTGCCTTTCTAAAAACCCCACACGCGCTAATGCTCTGGGACCAGAGCTTGGCCAGGGATGTCCCTATGAGCACTCCAGAAAATCACACCAAATAAACGGGTGTTAACACATATACCTCCTCCTTCACATGAAATTTATAAAAGTGGAGGAGGAGGACCCTGTTAACAGTAGGACAAGGGAAATTAATAAATTAACACCGCTCATTAGACGTCAAAGGTAATAATTCTCAAGCACATTATGAGCACTGTGTGGCCTTTGTGAATTTTCCTCATTCAGAGAGCCACCTTCCCAGGAAAAGGAAATTAATTCATAATCTTCCCCCAGATCAGCTCAATGCCAGCCCAGAAGGCCATATGCAGAGTTGTTCAGCACGAACCCCATATATTAGGGGACCCACTCCTGCGGGGGTGCTGGAGGGAACTCTGGGTCCCCAAGAAGGATCCAAGAATCAGCACTGGGTAGCAGCAGCCGTGGGAATCTGGGCTGGTGACCCAGGGTCTGGAAATTACAAGGACGTCTACGGAGACTTTATGTGAGAAGCTTAAATGGGGAGAAACAGTACGAATTATGGGAACCAAATACATATACAATATAGGAAATAGGAAGAAACGGCACAAACTTCCAGAACATAGAAACATACCATGATGTAAACAAGGGATTTCGTTAGGGAACTTTCCGTAGTCAAGAGTAAGGTGTCCATCTCCAGAAATCCGACTGACCACTCACGCACTGCTTTTCTATCACGGATCAGAGGGATTAAACACGGCGCAGGGTCTAGGATGTGTGCCCAGGAACGCTGCTGCTGCTGGCTTAGCCACTGCATCTAGGGGTAGAACTCCAAAAACCCATGACACCCAGGAGTAAATCCCAAGGGTGTGTCTCCTCCAGGGCCTTGGAGCCATAATTCCGCCTACTGGCAGAAATACTACTTCTGTCTTAAAGCTGTTAAAAACCTATTCTAAAAAAAAAAAAATCACATAGTTGGCAGATCACCAGGATCAAAACCTGATGGTCTAGCATAGTCTTATAGAAGAATTTAAAATAACCCAGGGGAAATGTTCTGAGCCTAAAACACAGGCTCTCTCTCTCTCTCTCTCTCTCTCTCTCACACACACACACACACGCAGGACCATGTGTGTGTGCCCTGGGACAATGGCCTGCACAGCCTCAAGAATGGGGACATAGAAGGACAGTGAGGATGAGAGTGGGATGGACTTGATGGTCCCGTTTCTTTGCAAGTTGCCTGCTTGTCCCGCTGCCCCATAAATTCTCTTCAAGATGCATCTTGGGCCCAGAGTTCTCCCTCCCTCCTCCTTCATACCTGAAAGCTTTCCTCCTTCCTGAACACTCTCTCCAAATTTCCATGCAGCCACACGTGGGCTTCCATGACTCCGCCACACTCGCTGCCCTCCTAATGCGCTGCTCCCTCACCTGGGCATAACCCTTCTTCCTTCACACGCCTGACTCGCTTGCTCCCCATTTCCAGTGACTGTTATTCCTGGTGTCGGAAGTCAACAGCCAGCTCCGTTACAAGTTAATCATGTACAGTGTGGACTGGAATAGGTTGTCTTTTGTTGCCTTTGTGTAGCGATGAACACAATTTCTTGGCATATAATAGGCAATTAATAAATACCTGCTGGTGGATTTGCTTCTATTTTATGTAGCTGTTATATTTCGGGAGACGAGATTCGATCCAATCCGAAGAGCTCTCTGTGTATGACATGACACAGGATAAATACGGTAGGCCCAAAGCTGTGCTGTTATATAAGCTCTTTTTATGGTATCCCACCAGCTATTTTTTGTCATCATCAAAAGACCATTATTAAATTCTGCATATGTGTCACTTGAATAAAAGTTCCCAGCCGCTAGAAACTTATGATTGGGCAAAACTACTGCCATCTGATGAGTGAATACAGGAGAAAAATATATGCACATAAAAATAGCAATGTTGGAAAGCAACTTCCCTGGAGGTTGGGGAACCTCATTAGCGGCTCTCTTCCATAAGAAACAACCATCTCGAAAGAGAGCTTTTCAAGCTTGTAGAAAGTGCCAAGCTCCTTAGATTTGCATTTAGTCTGGAGAGAAGTGGCTACGGAGCCAGCCAGAGCTGGGTTTGAATTTCTGCTCCACTACTCATTGGCTGCGACTTGGGACAGGCAGTTTCCCTCCATGAACACGTGCTCACATCACAGAAACGGTCGTACCACCGACAGTCTCTTCGGGTAGCTGGGAGGAATAAATAACAAAGAACGCACCCAAAAAGCACCCAGCTCAGGACCCAAGAAAGCGTAGGTGTATATCCTCGACAAGCATCGCTTGGCTGTGCTCAACGCTTAGGGAGCAGTGTGACCAGGCTGCTGTGCATGTGTGTACACACGCATGTAAGAGCGGGGGGAAGAGCATTTTGATGTTCTTTCCTTTCCAATATTTCTTCCTCAGTGATAAGTCACAGTCTTCCTGGGATAGAGGCTTCCTAAGATTTAAATGTCCAATGATGTCCAAGAATTGCACATTTCTAGGAAATTCCTGAAGCATCCCAAGAAAGTCAGGCTGAGGATGAATTCTCACATCCTACACATGTTCTGCATGGCCAGCATTATCTGACTCTGCTTTAATGGCACGGGCAAGGACACTCCATTATTCTATGAACTTAACTGGAGAAGACACTGACACCCAGGTCCAGAGGGCACAAGCCAGTAGCACTATCGAAGGCTCCAGATGACTTCCTGGTGGCAGTGAGCAGTGGAAAATGCATTCAGCTGTCTGTCTCAGAGGATTCTGTCTTAGCTATGCATCTGTGTGATTGATGAAGCCACCATGAGATGAGTCTGGGCAGAGAAGCTGGAAGATGACACAGAACCTCTCAACTGGGAAAAACTCCCTCTCTCCTCAAATGAGCTCCTGTCCCTCTGGACAAGTCCTATTTCAAGTCCCAGAAAATGCCACCTCCTCTGTGAAGCCTTCCAGGACCATGCAAAGTGTGAACCCTTCCTGCTTGCTTTTCGTTACTGCCCATTATGGCCGGTCCCTCGTAGCTATTCGCTTCCTTGTGTCTCCTCCACCAGCCTGCATCCTCCTCCATCCTTCCCTCTCACATTTCTCATGATTTTAAATAGTGTGTTTATGTACGTTAACTTTTACTGCTTTCACTGTAAGACTATAAGCTTCCTGAATGCAGGGCCTATGTCTGTCCTGCTGCTCCCTATCATATCTCCAGTCCCCAGCACTCTGCTGGCATCTGGGAGGTACTCACTGGAGTTTGTTGAATGAATAAATGATTGAATGCAGACTCCTAAGGGTTCAAATCTGTTTCTCCAGCACCCGGCATAGTGGCTGGCACAAAATTATCACGTAGTAAAGGCTGAATGAATATGGTTGGTTTTTTTTTAAGGCAATGATTAAGTTTTTTAAAGTGGTCTATTTTTATATAGATTGCTATCAAAAATAGGATGTACAAATAGGCCAACCTGATCAGCATAGAATTGGGACTGAATAGAAAGCTGAAGGTGGGCAATTAAGAATTTAAGTAAAAATCAGAGATACATTCTAAGCTGGCAACCTGTTTCATCTCTTATACTCACATCCTCATTAGCGTCCTAGTAAGATGGAAGGGAAGAATGCCAAGGAAAACAGCAATCTAAAGAATCCAGGAGAAATTCTTGCTGCCCCACTGGTCATCCTTTCACTTATAAAAGCTCACATGGGCCGGGCGCGGTGGCTCACGCCTGTAATCCTAGCTCTCTGGGAGGCCGAGGCAGGCGGATTGCTCAAGGTCAGGAGTTCAAAACCAGCCTGAGCAAGAGCGAGACCCCGTCTCTACTATAAATAGAAAGAAACTAATTGGCCAACTGATATATATATAAAAATTAGCCGGCATGGTGGCGATGCCTGTAGTCCCAGCTACTCGGGAGGCTGAGGCGAAGGATCGCTCGAGCCCAGGAGTTGAGGTTGCTGTGAGCTAGGCTGACGCCACGGCACTCACTCTAGCCTGGGCAACAAAGCGAGACTCTGTCCCAAAAAAAAAAAAAAAAAAAAAGCTCACATGTTTAAAGCGCTCTGCTCTTCCTATTTTCTCACTGTTGTTGCATCTCAGTGAGATAGATCAGTCAGGTGTTATGCCCATTTTACAGAAAAGGAAACTAAGGTCAGAAACCATGCTACTTCTGCAAGGTCACAAAGCTAATTAGTAATGGAGAGAGTTCTAAGTCAAGTCTGCTGACTCCAAGTTCGTTAGTCTTCCAACTACATTCCTACCAGAGACCCAGGTCAACGCTAAACCTTTGCTGAGGCCTCAAATTACCCTCACCTTTGTATCATCAGCATTGAGTATTCCCGGGGCCTAGACTGGTATCAGTAAGAATAGCCTCTTTATAGCACAGTAGTTTAGAG